TCCCAGCCAGTCCCTTTGTGATTACAACCCCTGAAGAGGAGTGATGGCCAAGTGGCCTTGGAGAAGCCCCTTCTTCTCTCTGGGCTTCAGTTTGCTTATCTAGAAAGTAGGGTGATATGTGGCTCCCATCAGTCATCAGGGATCACCGGCCATTGCCCCTCCCCAACTGGACATCTCCAAATCAATGCTGTCGAGTAGGGGTGGGGTCTTGGGACCCTCTGGACCCTGCGTGCCTCCCCCGACACCCCAACTGGAATCCCCTATGGCTCACAGGGCAGCCGTATTCCCTCTGTTCCTCTCTGGGCATCCTCTCCCACCCCGTCCTCCTGCCAGCTCAGAGGGGAACAGCTTGGAGGTGGCTGACCCCTGAGCAGGTCCAGCTGGTGGCATGGCTCTGGCCACAGTACCGAGCCTCTCTGAGCCTTGTTGCCTCCTTGAATGGGGAGAAAACAGGAGCTGCCCAGGATTCACGGGACTCAGGGGCACCTCCAGCCTGGGGGGCAGTGAGTGCCAGCCTGGCTGCAGCATTGTGCCCACTCATGGTGGTCTCAGCCACGTGTGCAAGCCCCACAAGCAGCAGTTTATCCCAGGAAGCCCTGCATGGAGCAGGGACAGGAGACCAGGAAGAGAGGGCATATTACAGAGCTAATCATCATCAGGAGCAACCGGAACTCCACCCCGCTGGGGACACAGGAGCAGGACAGAGTGATCCCACTACGGAAGGGAGCCGGTGTTTCCCCGCAGCTCCCACCCCACGCTGCTGGAGGCCTGCTCCACCAGTTGCTAATTCCCCGGCCCTTCCTGTCCACCCGTGCACCTGCCCAGCTCACTCCGACAGCCAGAAGGAAAACCCTACAGCAGAACCGCAGAGGCTGGCAGTGAGCAGCCTGCAAGTGCGCCAAGAGGCCGTGGGGAGACCGATGGCCCACGTCTGCTGCCACCACCCAGGCTAACTGGGCCAGGCCACCTTCCCCTTCTGGCCCAACACAGACCCCCTCTCTTCACCTCCCTGCCCCCCAAGCCCTCCTGGCCCAGCGGGCCTGGCTCAGGCTCCACCTCTCTCTTCCCCAGGTCACCTCATCCTCACAACCATGGTGGCTGCTGCCACGAGTGGCCCACACATGGCATGGAGCCCTGGTGAGGGTGGCAGCTCCAATCGTGTCACTGCACACCTGTGTGTCTGGGTGTGAATGTACTTGTGTGTATATATTGGTGGGTGTGTGCACATGTGTACTTTGTGTGTCTGTCTCCACGTGTACACGTGTGTATACCTCTGTGTGTGCCTGTAGATGTGTGTGTGAGGGTGTCTGTGTACGTGTGTATATGCTGTGGTGTGTGTGAGTTGGTGTATATGTGTACACGTGTGACTATGTCTGTGAATGTCTGCATGTGTGTCTGTGTAGACATTTGCATGTGGGTGTGTTCCTGTGTATCTCTGTACAGATGAGAGTGCAAGTGGCCATGTACAGGTTGTACATGTATGAGTGTGTCTGCACATCCATGCATGTATATCTGTGTATGCACGTGCATGTGTGTCTGTGTCACTGTCTCTGTGACTATGTGTCTATGTGGTGGGGGAAGGGAGAGTGTGTGTTAATGTGTGTGTATGCACAAACATATATGTGCATGTGTGCATGCATGCTTGTGTATGTGTCTGGCCCTCTGGGTAAGTGTGGGACCAGGGCCAGGGGCAAGGGGATGATGCACGTGAGGAAGGAGTCCCATGGCAGCCCAGCCCCAGTCATGGCCCCAGGGCGCCTGCTGCATGCCAGGCCTGGGCCGGCTGCTAGGGACACAGTAGAGTGGAAGAAAGTCCCTGCCCTCAGGATGATCGTGACCCCTTGCACAATGAGGCTCAGGGAGGAAGAAGGCCTGGCTGAGCTCACCCTGCAGGTCAGGCCCACACCCTTCCACCCCAGGGCAGGCCACCTCTCACTGTGCCTCCTAGGGCCTGGGCAATGGCAGCTCCACTCCTCGGTGTCTCAGTTTCCCCATCTGTTAAATGGGGACCTCGCAGGTAATTGAGACCTCCCGTGGAAAGCACCTGGCACAGAGCCTGTCCCGGAGTCAGTGGCCACAGATGTTAGCAGCCGTGGCTACTACCGTTATTTATGATTGTTATTGCCATCACTAGTGGCCCCACTCTGGGTCCCTGACACACTCAGCTCGCCCCTGTGCCCCACTCAGCACAGGGAGCTTCCGAAATTTCTCTCCTGGGCTTGCCACCATCCAGAGCCCTCAATCCTGGGACCCAGGAGAATGTTTTCAAGGCCCCGAAGCCTTCCAAAGGCCTGTCCCAGAGGCTGCCACCAGCTGATAATACAGGAAACACGCTGACTGCGAGTGGCCTTCTCGATAACCCTGGCAGCGCCTGTGACCCCCTCCCTACCCTCAAGCCCTTATCAGCTGCAGCAAATGTCTTCTCCCGTGGGCTGTGAGCCCATGCTGACCTCCCTGACCTCTTGCCAGTGTTTGCAAACTCAGCCACAGCAGGCAGGGGGACAGGTGGGGCCTGGGAAGAAGAGCAGACCCTGTAGGATCTCACCTGACTTGGCCCTGGGAATCCTGATCCTACCCTGGGCAGAGGCTGGGGGTCCTGGACCACAGAAAGGGGCTATTCGCAAATCTCAAGGTCAAATTGATTGAAAAAAGCCAGAGGAGGCCCTTTGGGGACCCCCCAGGGACAGTGCAGGAAAGGTTGCCCCAGGTCCACCCCGACATCCCATCCCTCATCAGGGTGACCGGTCTTGCTTCAAAGCCAAGGGCTGACCATCATGGGTGGATTCTGAGGTCACACCCAGCTGGAGCAGAACTGGCCACACATCTTCCTGGCTGTGTGGTCTCGGGCAAAGCACTTCACCTCTCTGCACTGTTTCCTCCTCTGTGGGATGGGGAAGCCACCGCCGATCCTCTTGCCACGGCTCTGCAGGGCTGCTCCTCTCCCCATGCGTCTCTCTGCCTGTTCCACTTGGATATTGAGGTGACTCTGGTCTCTGTCCCCTTGATCCATTCCCTTGTCCCAGCTCAGCTCTGCCCGGCATACTCCACCCAAGTGGATGGTCCTAAAACTCCCGCTGGTGTATCCTGGGGCTGGTCCTCCGCCAGAATCGGCTGAATCAAGTTCAGACTGCTTGTGGGCCTCAGTTTCCCAGCTGTGTGTCCGGCACAGCGCTTAGGTGTGGGGGACATGGCGGGAGACAAGGCAGACAGCCCCTGCCCTCCTGGGGTCATGTTTTAATGGGGATGGGCCAGGGACAGAAGGGGAGGTAGATGAAGGGAAGAGTTGAAGGAGGCGCTGGGCTGGTAAAAGCCAGAGGTTCGTGGCAGAGGGACCGCAGCTCAAAGGCCCCGAGGGCAGCCATGCCCAGTGTGTCCTAGGAGCAGCATGGAGGCCAGCAGGGGCAAAAGAAGTGGGCACAGTGACACCTTCATCTTCTCCTTGCGGGATGAGGGTGACCATGAAGGTTCTGAGCTGGGGGAGATGTGACCTCATGTCCTTGGCTGCATGTGGAGAACAGACTGCAGGACAATGGCAGAAACAGTGAGGTGGCTACTGCAAGGGTCCAGGTGAAGGGAACAGACCTGTACTGGAGTTGGGGGCAGAGGAGTAGTGAGAAGGGGCCAGATTCCAGACAGGCTTAGGAGGCAGAATCTTCTGGACCTGCTGAGTTGGATGTGGCAGTGAGGGGAGGCGAAGCATTTGGGGCGACCAGAGTCTGGCTCAGCCACTGTGCATGGCATGAGCAAGGGAGACGGGACCCACTGCATCTGCTCACGGGCCATGCTCTTTCTGTGGGGTCAGCAGAGGACAAGCCTGGCGTCTGGAGAGTGGCTGGCCCAAAGGAGGCCAACCCCACAACCTCTGAGCCTTTGCTGAGACACGCCTCTCACAGGGAGCGTCCACTGTTCCCCCTAGACACCAACAGCCCCTAACAGCCCTGCCGTCCTGCCCAGCTCAGCTACCCTTGTTGCCTTCTCCCACCTGTGACATCCTCCCGTCCCATTACGACAGCACCCATTATGCTGTGCTGGGCCTGAGGGGGTTCGTGTCTATGCACTTGAATCCCTCCCGACTGCGTGCTCCATAGCAGGGCTGTCCCGGGTCCCACCTGCCTCCCCAGCTCGAGCCCTGCCACCACCCTAAGCTCATCTACCACCTTCCCCTCACTGCCCCTTCTCCAGCCACACTGGCCTTCTCGTCGTGTGGACCCCACCTCAGGGCCTTTCCACTTGCTGTCCCCTGCACAGAACCCTGTCATTCCCGTCACCGTCACATTTCCTCCCCAGGGACGATTGGTATCCGAGACCATCTGTTTGCTTGGCGGGTATGTCTCCCCCACTAGATTGCAAACCCCACAGAGCAGGACTGTGACTGGCTCATGACTGTCCCCAATGAAGGAAAAGGTGAATTAACATCCTCTCCAGCCTAACGCCTCCTCTGTGAAGCCCCTGTGGTTTACTGAGCCCTGAGTTCTGAGAGATGCTGGCACATCCCTGGGTGTGGGGCCATCCAGCCCCAGACCTCCCCTAAGTCCTGCCCACCTACTGCCAGCATCCCTCAGGCAGCTGCCACAGACACCTGCCCTTCTGCCCTCGCAGCAGCCCTTACTCAGGGTCTTCTGGTGGCTCCCACTTCCTCTTGGGGAACTGCCCCCCCAGTTCCATGGGGTTCTGGTGGAGCTGCCAATCACAATGGCATGTCCTGCCCCCACCCCAGCCACTGCTCACAGAACCTGCTCTGAGAAGTGGCCTACGTGCACCTGCGTCCTTCCCTGGGACTTCTAGCAGACTGCCTGATGGGGATGCACCTGGGGTAGGCCCCCAGTGCAGGTATAGGGGGGCTGCGTCTGTCCTGTCACCCTGATGCCCAGTGGCCAGCAAAGGCTGACACAGGGCAGGTGCTCGCTGAACAGCTGCCGGGGACCCCCGGCTCCCAAGCCAGGAGGCCAGAGGCTGAGTGTCACCCACAAGTCACTGTGGGAGAAACATGACAGGCCAACTTTCTCTTTAAAGAAAACAAGTTTTATTTTTATAATCAGAACATTCTAATAAAAATATTATTATAACATTAGCTACCTGTATTTTCTGGGCCTTTACTCTGCACCGGGCGTGCCCCGTGACACCTGCACGCTCAGCTCCCTGAGGTAGGTCCAAAGGAACACCCTGACCTGCCGCCCCCCGCCCCAACGGCTGAGCTGAGCAGCCCCCAACTCCCCCTGCAGGACGCCCCACCTCACCTCAGCCCCACAGAAGCCCAGTCACTTCTCACCCCCCCCCACCCGGCCCCCAGGAAGGCAGGGACCTGTCTCAAGCTGGTATACAGCAGGTGGCAACAAGAGGGAGAGGGCAAGGGCACACAATCCTGCAGGGTCTAGACCCAGAGCAGCATGAATGCCTCAGCCCTCCTCTCTCTGCTTTTCCAGTGGTGAGGGGAATGGAGAGGAGGGGCAGACAAGCATCACAGTGTCACAGTGTCGCAGTGACAGACCCGAGACAACCCATGGTTGCCGCCGGATACCCTGCACCCACCCAGGCAGGCATTACCAGACAGTTGCCCCAGGCAGGCCCACAGGGGCCTCCTGTCTGCGGAAGCCCACCCTACCGAGGGGCTCCTGGCCCATGCCCGGCAGACGCTTCATTATACAGAAATACTGTCGTCATCTCCGCGGGGGGATCCATCAACAAAAAGCAAGTCTCAAAGTCAAAAACAGGTTTTGGATTCTTGGTGGCGGCAGTCTCTGTTGAAAAAATAGACTGAAATTCTGAAATCGTCTTAGTAGCAAAACAATTACAACAAGAAAAAAGTTGCAGTGCTTTGACTGAGAGGGACGTTGGCGCTGACCAGTCGCCAGGGCCCTCCCGCACCTGGGAGCTCTGGGGCACGAAGAAGCCGCCCCCCGCAATAACTTAGAAAATGAGAATTCAACACGGAGAGTTTCCCTGCACACCCGACTGCGGCTCACAGCTTGTGCGGAAGGAGTTAAAATAAATAGTCAATTCACTTCTCTTTTAGATTTTCCTGGAGTAAGGCATCTCTGCTGGGGACAAAGTTTCTGCATGGCCCGAGGGTGGCTGGAGTCTCTGAAGGTCTGGGAGGGTCTGGGAGGGACCCACCCAGCTGCTGTGGTGGAGACAGGCCTGTGGGCACCTGGAGTGTGGACAAGGACAGGAGAAGGTGCAGAAAGAGGGCTGCTGGGTGTGCGAGGAATTTGGGGTTGCATCTTTAAATAGCTTCTCGGACGTTCTTTCTTCCTAAAGTCCTCCCTCAAATGATGGGACCTAGATTTAAAGAGAAGCAGTCTCTCGGATATCCTGGGTACCCCAGGGGTTTTCGGAGGCACAGGTACTGGTCACCCCTGAAGCTCAGCCTGGACAGCCGTGGGCCCATGGTGGCCCAGCGGGTCTGTCTGCTGAGTGGGTGACACTGTCACAGTCCCTGGAGTAGAACGCCCCTCACTGCATCCTGTCGGGCTGCAGCTGCGGCGCCTGGTACTGCACGAAGGTGGTGCCTGTGGGGGCTGTGGCCGAGAGGGCCTGTGGCACAGCAGCTGGGTAGCTGTAGCCCACAAAGCTGGCAGCTGTGGCCGGCGAGGCGGCATACGGATACTGGTCATAGGTAGCAGGAGGGTACTGGGCGTAGGCTGGGCTGGCCGGTGTGTACTCAATGTAGGGTGAGGACAGCGACGGGATGGGGGTGGCTGGGATCACCACGCTGGGCTGGACGATGGCTTGCGGGTAGATGTAGTGGGGAGTCAGCCTGTGGGACCAAGCAGAGAGAATCAGAGGCAGGGACAGAGTGGAGGAGAAGCAGCTGGCTCAGTGGTGACCACGCCGTGTGCCTCCCCCGAGTGTAAAACGGGTGTAGCGACACCACCACAGCAGATGCGCTCCTACCCCAGGGCCTTTGCACAGGCCGTTCCTACCTGCAACACACTTGACCCAGCTATCCACAGGGCCCTCTTCCCCTCCACATCTTCTCATGAGAGACTGCAACCCCCACCCCAACCCTAGACCCCACACCCATCTGTCTCCCACAGTACTGACTACATGACTTGGAGGCCTAGAGCAAAAATAAAAACATGGGTCCCCTGTTTAAAAGATTAAGAATTTCAAGACAGTGAAAGCAGAGCCTCAAATCAAACACGGGGCCCTGTGCCAGCACCCAGGTGTCATGACTGCGAAGCCCACCCGTCCCCCCTGCCCTGCTCATCTTCCCAACCCTTGCCACCCACCCAGCAACACCCTGCACAACCTACTCATTTACTACATCTGTCTCCCCCAACTAAGATGTCGCTCTCATGGAATTTTTCTTTCTTTCTCTGCCAGCACAGATTCTGGCTCACAGCAGGAGCTCAATGAATACTTGTTGAGTGAGTGAATTCATGAATGATGGAATAAAAAAGTGTGACAATGATGGTGGGGGTGAAAAGAAAGACAACAGCAAGGGGAGCCGCCCTTGGTAACACCACCAGCCAGAGACTGCCAAGCGCTTACCAGTGCCCTGCAGAGCGAGAGACATTTCCCAGGCAGTAACTGGATCAATCTGCCCCATCGAGTTGGTCTTCCCATTATTATACCCATTTTACAACCAGGAAATCTGAGCTTGGAGGAGTCAGGTGGCCCAGCCCAAGGTCCTGCAGCTGAAGAAGCCAGGGCAGGGAACTGGGCAGTGACCTCAGAGCTGTGCTCTGACCCCCGCCCCACAGGCTATTGTGGAAAAGGATTAAGGAGGCACTGCTTACTACAGGCCTGCTGTGGGCTCCCTGCTGTGTGTGCAGCACACCCAGCCTTCCACGGTAGGGAAGAATGATCCCATGCTACAGAGGGGGAAACAGGGGCTCAGGGAGGCAACGTGGGTAAGGGGGACAGATGGAGGGCTCTGGGGGCAGCTGCCTGGCAGGTGCCTACTCTGCCAACCAGCCACTGGGAGGCCCTGGGCAAGCAGCTGAGCCTCTCTGAGCTCACGGCCTGTCTGCAGCAGCAGCGCCCACTGCAGCGGCATGGGGAGATGCTGCGGAGTGTTGGGCGTGGAGTGTTGGGCACGGAGTGACCACGTCAGGGCACGATACAGCTGCCGTGGCATCAGTGTCTCCTCCTCCTCCTACGCCGGCATGGGTTACACAAGACCTGGAACCTCAGCTTCCTTCCGCACCTGTAGAACAGGCCCAGGTCCCTGCCCTACCCCCACTCCAAAGAGAAGCTGCTCTGAAAGAAAAAGTAAAACACTCTCTTCCAGTACGTCCATCCACTTGGCAGGGGCAGAAACTGAGGCAGCTTTTTGGAGAGCATTTTGGCAACACGCGGGCCACTGAAAATACATGCTCCCTTCCCTCCAGCCAGGCCCCCTCAGGGTCTAGGGAGCCCTCACTCCCAGCACAAATATCAGCTGATCCCAGCAGGACCTCCAGAAACAGTGAAAAACCCACATCACCATCAACTGATGAGTGCGTAGACTAAACATGGTCTATCCAGGCAAGGAATGTTCTTCGGTCAAGAAAAGCAATCAAGCACTGTGCTACCCAGAGGATGAACGTTGAAAACATCACGCTAGTGAAAGAAGCCAGTCACAAGGGCCACATATTACACAAGCCCATTTCTATGAAAGGTCCGGAGCAGGCAAATCCATGCAAGTAGATTAGTGGTAGCCAGCGGGTGGAGGAAGGGAAGCGCCTGCAATGGGCTTCCTTTGGGGGTGATGAAAAAGTCCTGGGATTAGACAGTGTTGATGGTTTATAATTTGGGAAGATACATAATGCCACTGAATTGAACACGTTAACATAACTAAAATGGTAGATTTTATATTATGTGTATTTTACCACAATAAAAACACACAAACAGATCAGTAGCAAAATGTGAACCATTGGATGATGGCACACCGACGAGCCACCGTGGTGAGGTGGCAGAGCTGAGGGTGGATGATGGTGTGCGGGGACACTGCTGTTCCCACAGATCTGGCAGCCAACACCTGGGGGGCCCCAGGTCCCCCTGTCTGGGGCATTCCTAGGCCACGTCACTGTCACCACTGCTGTGACCTTCCCAGGTGGCACTCCTGCACCCCACTGGGTGACCTTCTGCTGTGTCTGTCCTGAGGCCCGGGTGGCTTTTGGCAGGAACCTGTGGTGGCATGCCCTCTGCCCCCTCTTAGGAGCCTCTGCCATCCAATCCCACCTCCTCCATGGGAACAAGAGCCTTCAACAGAGGAGGTCTGGATTCAAATCCTGCCTTGTGAGCCATGTGACACCCTTCTTGCACATATACCAGGATGCTGAGGTGAGCAGACCATATGGCCCTGGCCCTTGACAGGCTTAGCTTCTATGGCAGGAGAGGCACAAAAACATGCCATCCCATGCACCAGAGCATGCGGACTCCCAGGAAGATGAGAGCACAGGCTGCGATGTGTCAGGGAGGGGTGGGGAGGTGAAGATGAACGCAGTGAGACCTCAGGAGGAGATGGAGCTGGCCGTGGGGAACAGCATTCCGGGCACGGGGAGCAGCAGAGAAGGGGTGAGGCAGGGGTGAGTGTGCAGGTCTGAGGAGCTGGGTGAGGGCACCCGCCGCCCTCCGCACACAACCCTCCAACAATCCCTCCGCCCCAGACCAGATCCCCAAACCCTGCCGACACCATGGCCTCTGCTACCCCAACCTGCCCCAGCCCATACCACGCAGCACCTCAAACACTCAGGTCCTTCCCACCTGGGCCATGTACCTGCCACTACCTCTGCCTGGAGCCTGTGTCCCTGCGAGGCCGCCCTGACCCCACGCTGAGGCTGGCCCGCTGCCTCCCTGTGCTGCTGGTGCGCCCTGCCCAACTCCCCTACTAGATCCCAATCTCAGAGGGAGGGTTCTGCCTGGACACCCCACTTCCCACCAGGGCCTGGCCTGTAAGAGGTGCTGGATCCATGGTGCTGATGGGACAAAGGCCTAGTGGACAGCCACGGATCCCGCTGAGAAAGATGAGGGGCCGTGGCTGGTTCTGTGAGGCCTCCCCAGGGAAGGGGCAAACAGTGAAGCCCATCGTGGTGCTGAGCCCAGCACGCCATCCTGGCACTATCAGTGCCCCATCACCGTGAGCCCTCACCCGGCTCTCGGAACCTCGAATACATTCCTTAGTCTGAGGCTATGGAAGCTTTGAGCCCAGAACTTCTCCAAACATGGGCAGCAGTGCCCCTGCCTCAGACACCCCTGAAGTATTTGCTAAAAATGTGGATCCCCTGCAGACTGCAATGTCAGATAGGGTCCAGGAATCTGCACTGACAGGCCCTGGGGATTCTGACACAGAGCCACGTGCAAGAACTGCTGCCCAGACCAGAGCTGCAGGACATATGCACCCAGGGGCTTAGAACAAGGACGTTTCTGGTCCCACCCACCTCGAGGGCCCAGTCTAGCAAGGCAGCTGTCACTTCTACCAGGTTTCCGATGCCTGACATCATCAGGACCAGAGCTGTGCCCTGGCCACTAAAGAGTTGCCCTGATGGGGGATGCGCAGACGCGGTGTGCGCAAGCAGTTTTTAGGCTGGGGAGGAAGGGGCTCTCCCATTTCCCCTGGCGAATGCCATGAGTCTGCACCTACTCATCTTTGCTTCCCTCAAGGGCTCTGTCCCAGCCCCGCTCCTTCTGCAAAGAGCTTACAAAGCAGTTTTGAAGCCACAGAATAGGAGCTGTTACCCCATTTCCCAGAGAGGGAAAGAGGCTCAGAGAGGCCCAAGTGACCTGTCTGGTCACCCAGCAAAAGTGCTGCAAAGCGGAGTCCGCCCACTTGTCCTTCTGCCACCTGGCATTTGCACCCATAAAGACCAGCCGGGGCTCCAGGCTTGGACAGAAATTAAAGGAAGGAACAGAGGGGCGGTGGTGCTCACCCTGCCACACTGTGTGGCCTGAGGACAGAAAGAAACACTGGCCAAAGTCACATGGAAGGAGCCCAAAGCACCAAGGGGCAGGAAGCGGGGCTCCGACACTTTCTCTCCCCAGGTCTGCACCTTGGCTCTGCACTTGGGCAAGTTACAGAACTTCTCTAAGTATCAGCTTCCTCATTTGTGAAACATGTCTTACAGAGACGACCTGCGGAGCGTGGGCTAGAACAGCATTCTCACCCAGAGAACATTGGGCAATGCCTGGGACATTTCTAGATGTCACGACTGAGGGGGGCGCTACTGGCAACTAGTAGGTAAAGGCCAGGGATGCTAACATCCTGCAACGCAGAGGAGGCCACTACCATGGGAACGATCCAGACTAAATATCAATAGTGCCGAGGTCAAGAAACCCTGCTGTACGGTTTCATAAACTACAAAGCAAAGGGCAGATATAAGGAATTCTTACTGCTTTACGACCACATATGCCCAAGCCAGAGGGACTGGAAAGGGGGCAGGCAGGGAGAGAGGGACAAAGGGGCACACACGAGTGTGCACACTCATGAGTGTACGCACACATAAACATGCACATGCGGGGAACCACTGCACTCTTAGGTGAGAAACAAAAGCCAAATCACTGGCCCTCACTGTCCAAGGACAGCCCCTGCCCGAGACCGGCACATGACATAGGCCCAAGGTCGGACTGTCTGGTACCGGGGAACTGTGCCTGTGTGCCTGGTGGGTTCCTCAGCACCCCACCTACTCCCTGATCCAGGCTCAGCAAAGCCAGGGTGCTGAAGCCCCTGTGTGCCTGATCTTCAGGCCCCTGAAAAGGACAAGGGCCTGGCGGCCACAAGCCACCACACCCGCCAAGCCCCAGTAATACTGCGTCCCCTGCATGAGCTCGCCT